ATACACATTTATATCGAGGAGGTCAAATACTGTTATTAATTATTCTGATAAAAGTACAAAGTTTCTTCAGTGTTTTTATATTAGTAGTATTCATCAATTCATTAAACTTAATTACATTTGGTCTCGTCCAAAAATATTTGTCTATGTATAAAATTCGAAACCCAGATAGTGACGGACACTCAAGCAAGTAATGGAATTCGTCACCAATTTGCTGACTGTTACAGTGTGGACATTTTCTTTCATTATACTCTATATTATGCCATCTGCCGGTTTCAACAATGAATTTGTGATTAGTAGTCTTAAATTTACAAAATGTAACTCTATCCTTATCACTTAAAATATCTAAGTAATTTTCAAAATGACAATTATTTTTAAAAATCCTATAACATGTAGCTTTTGATGAAGTGTGAACATCACTCTGCCATTTCTGTAAAAACTGGTCGTACAATCTTTGTTTAATAACATGCTTTAGCCATGTGATATTACATTCTGAAGTATNTTGACCATTCACCTGTGGTCACATTGGATTCTGATGTGCTGTACCTGATCAAGGTCACATTCTGTGATTTCAAGTCAATTAAACTCCATGTCAATTAATCCAGTTCATTGTCTATCCATCACGTACAGCTGTATACAGGTAAATCAGTTCAAGGTAAAAACCTACAGATAAGATACTTTGGCTGTCCCTCGATCAGGAAATGACAGCCCCAGGCACAATTTCATTTCACAACAGTGCCTTAACCAAGGTAAACTAATATTTGGAACTTGGAATTCCTCATTTAATAATAATAATAAAAAAGTGCCTTATTAGGATATTTAACTTCTCACGTAGAAGATTTGTTTTAAAACTAATCTAATTTTTTTTAAATAATTTATCATGAGGTCTGTTATCAGCGAGCAAAGTTGATTACTCACCCTAATACGTAACAAACTTTTCATATCAGATTATTGTAAATGATGATATTTTTCAGTAATCATTAAGTCAAATCATTATGAAGATAACTTTATTGTCATCATGTGACTGAGTTCCTGAGAAAATAGAGTGTGATTCCTTGTTGTCTATAGCAGAGACGTTTATATTACAATACGTCTCTGTCTATAGTAAGTTTATTGACGGAGTGCCCTCTCTGTGTGTGGTAATTATAAAGGTGTCAAAAATCAGTCAAGCGGTTCCGGGCTAGTGTACCTGTGAACTTACATGGTTCAATGAAAAAGATAATTGACCTTTTACAGCTGACCAATTAGTACCACTTAGCGCCTTTAGCAAGTTACTCAGTGGACAGTATATATCAGAGGCTGGGATTAACCTGGCCTAGGGTATATTTGGAAATATTATATTAACGACAACAAGATTTATTAATTAANAAGTCAATTAAACTCCATGTCAATTAATCCAGTTCATTGTCTATCCATCACGTACAGCTGTATACAGGTAAATCAGTTCAAGGTAAAAACCTACAGATAAGATACTTTGGCTGTCCCTCGATCAGGAAATGACAGCCCCAGGCACAATTTCATTTCACAACAGTGCCTTAACCAAGGTAAACTAATATTTGGAACTTGGAATTCCTCATTTAATAATAATAATAAAAAAGTGCCTTATTAGGATATTTAACTTCTCACGTAGAAGATTTGTTTTAAAACTAATCTAATTTTTTTTAAATAATTTATCATGAGGTCTGTTATCAGCGAGCAAAGTTGATTACTCACCCTAATACGTAACAAACTTTTCATATCAGATTATTGTAAATGATGATATTTTTCAGTAATCATTAAGTCAAATCATTATGAAGATAACTTTATTGTCATCATGTGACTGAGTTCCTGAGAAAATAGAGTGTGATTCCTTGTTGTCTATAGCAGAGACGTTTATATTACAATACGTCTCTGTCTATAGTAAGTTTATTGACGGAGTGCCCTCTCTGTGTGTGGTAATTATAAAGGTGTCAAAAATCAGTCAAGCGGTTCCGGGCTAGTGTACCTGTGAACTTACATGGTTCAATGAAAAAGATAATTGACCTTTTACAGCTGACCAATTAGTACCACTTAGCGCCTTTAGCAAGTTACTCAGTGGACAGTATATATCAGAGGCTGGGATTAACCTGGCCTAGGGTATATTTGGAAATATTATATTAACGACAACAAGATTTATTAATTAATTAAAGAAAGGTTTATTGATAAAAAGAAATTGAAAATTGAACCTAATTATTATAAATAGGCATAGTTGCACTTGTAATTGTATTGTGAGTGTGTGTAATGTTGTGTAATGTTATTTTGTATTTTGCACAGTTAATATCACAAATTTTGTTACTTTGTAACTGGTGAATCGAACGACACAAAGTAATAAAGAACTTGAACTTGAACCAGGCGATAGATACGTACATGCATGACAAAATATGAAATATTGTAGCCCTTACACTTACATGTATTGAGCACAGACAAAATGTTATGTAGTTTTGCCGGTGTTGTCTATAAAAAGTCTGACAACGGTCAGAGACGTATACTTTTACATTTTCACGTGATTTTGTGTGCGGTATTATTCCCCATCACCAGTTACACGAAAAATTACTTAATTATGGAGACACGTTAACTTGAAATTACAGGAAAATGTCATCATCTTCCCTCAACGCCATAACGTTTTCATGTGGAACTAGATATTGTGAGCATCCTCACATAGATATGCATGTATACCCCCCGTGAAAAATGTTATATAAATGTATCTATTAAATACCCCCCCCCCCCCCCCCCCCCCCTTTT